TTCATGAACTAAAAGTGGTAGTTAATTTCTCAAAACGAGTTTGACGAATAATACTCCTGAGCATATCAGTGTAAACAGTTACAACTTTTACATGATTATTATTATACTATTGTTTCCTTTAATTCCTAAAGGAACATAGGGTTTCAGCCGTGCGTCTCCACTGCGTTCGGTTCTCTGCTAGAGTCTTCACCTGGCTCCATGTCTGCCCACACGTTTTCATCTCCTCTTCACATGACCTCCTCCAAGTCACCCTCGCACTGACGACCAACTCGCCGCTTCCCTTTCGGGTTCCACACGAGCAATGGGTTGTCTAGTGATGTCACTTGATGGTTTGCTTCCATTCTTGATGTCTTCCTGCTTATTTGTTGCACAATCGGTTCCTGCTGGGTTGGTTTGCTCATTGCCAGAGATCCCTGTTGCTGATCTTTTCTGGTCATCTGATCTTCAGTACTGAGCGAAGACAACTGTTAATGAAGGTCTGTAGTTGGTTCGAAGTGCCCTTCATGACGCGGCGCCAAGTCTCTGATCCGTATAGTAGCACTGACTTCACATTGGAGTTGAAAATCCGCATCTTGTTTTTCATGCTGAGTGCTGTTGATACCTCCACACAGACTTGAGAGTAATGAAAGCTTGTTTTGCTTTCCCGATCCTCGCTTTGATATCCTCGTCAGTTCCGCCTGTAGTTGAAGTGGTGCTTCCCAGGTTGGTAGGTAGGTAAAGGAGGTTGCTTCTTTCAGGTTCCTCCCATTTATGCTGATTGTTGTCTGTTGTTGCTGTTGGTGTTGGCCAGGAACCTCCATCACCTCTGTTTTCTCTATGTTCACCTGAAGTCCTATCTTTGATGCTTCTTCTGCCAACTTGTTGCTTTTCGCTTGCATATCTTCCAGTTTGTGGGAAATCAGACATATATCATCGGCGAAGTCCAGATCCATGAATAAACCCAAAAAATGTGAACTGATTCGCAGATACAATTTTCCTCTCCAGAATCCATGTAACAATAGCCAGTAAGAATATTTTCAGTCATAACTTCGCTCAAATAAGTACTGACCACCATCAAGCAGGAAAATATCTCTCTTTATACAGTGACATTTCTGCACATTTCCAAGAGATGCTGAAAAATAATAAGATTATTCCATTTAAGTTTAATTCACAGATTGTTATTGTTTCATTCAGTGGCTAGGACAGTTATGTCAATATGTTTGTTGAACTGCAGACTATTCAGAAGCCATTTATGGAGCTTTTTCGTCACATTTTCTCGTTTGCAATCTGTAATACACTATGTCTAATTAGGATTAGTCTAACCCAATTTTAAAAGCGGGCTTTACAAATATGTCCACGAACTAGGGCTAATCAGAGGACTCATCACTCAGTCCACAAGCATATTCTAGTTAATTTCAGTGTAGATTTCACCGCGAGCCTACACCAATCATAGATTAATGATAATAACTTTATTCTGCACAAAATGTTTACGCAGTGTACAGTGTAATTTACTACTTAATATTTTCTCTTCGTCTAGGGCCTTCAAATAAAACAGTAATCGATAGCATATCGCATGATGCACTGCTGTTCGATCGGAAGCACAAACCAATCATTTGTGATATTTTCCTTCGAGAAATGCGTAGCGCTAAGTTGACAGTTAATCAAAAATGCATCAGCACACTTTACAACCCAACGGCATTATTGAATTATTCAAACAAGAGGAAATGGAGAAAAGCTGATGCATTATGTTGGATGGAATTGACAGTAGACCCCAGTGATTTAAACAGGCTACTAATGCTAGGCGCACTAGACAGTTCTAATGAGAAATTGTGACAAGTTTGGTCCATCAAACCATAGTGTGTGGGTACTTATCAATGGTGTTGGTTGGCGGTCGTTGTGCATCATGAACTGACAGAAGTTAGAATTTACATATTATTAAGTTCCGACATATCTGGTGAATGGGCGACGGATTGGTTTGGCAACCTGAAAGTCCCGGGTTTGATCCCTGACAGGATTCTAAGTACGTACTGATCAAGAGACTCAAACTATGTCGAAACGGGTGTTCACTGTTCTCTGGTTTTCAATGATTCTCTGGATGATGTTAGTTCCCGACAAAATCTGCGTTCAAATTAATTCAAACTGCTACAAAACCCATGATATGAACATCTTCATTAAATCTTGGGAACAAAAAAATGGTAGAGTACAATTGGAGTAATAAAACAACAGTCGAGTTTCTCAAATTTAGTTAATGAATTTCGTCACACACACTTATCCACTCACTTTCTTCCTCAATATAGAGTTCTTATATTTATTTCAAAGCATAGTTTCCTGGGACTTCAATAGCTACTTTCTATAATCTCAATTTCAAAACCGAAAGAATCAGAAGTTTGTCAAAATAAGAAGATGAAGAGTTACTCTGACGACTGTAGGAATCTGAAATTTGTAGGTGATGATTCTACAAATGACCTTTCTCACCTTCCTATAGAGAAATCAAAATATCTGTTACCTTTGATTATTTTCAACTTTTTTGACACCAACCAAGAGACACTGTTTCATTACAAAACCTACCACAAAATCAATAAAATCCGTAGAACCCTGAAAACTTGATTCAATAACCCGTACATCATAACAGACAGTTATCATTAAAAATGAAGGATAGTTGAATTGAACGATAATGTCTAAAATAACAGGTCACATGTTGAAAAAGGTCCTAGTTAAACTCTTTGTTCAGTCCTATCAGTATAACTGCTACCACAGATACACATGAATTGATATACACAATAGAAAGTAACATATGAACAATACCTGTCGACTTCTGGTTACACCAATGAGCAACATCTTCTAAACAGAACACTTAACGGCAAATTTTTACTTATTTTATTCACAATATCATTACCGCTGCAGATTAAGTGAATACAAATGGACATTTTTACTGGAAATAATCTTCTCAGGCTTTGTGCTTTCTTTTCTAGGGTATTTTTTTGATGAGGCTTTGTCAGTAGCTAATTTTTTTGAGACACTCTTGAAGCAGCCTTCTTCGGTCCATTGAAGCTATCGCCGTCAAACGCTTTCAATTACCGTGGTAACTTAATTCCCAATCATTCACTTATCTAGGCATCTTTTTGACATTCTGGAAAAATTCGGCGCTACAGAATATCTGTTACTAATAAGAAATCATAACATAACGCATTAATCAGACCTCACGTCGAACAATTTTCTATATTCACTACTAAGTTATTGATAATTTTTATCAAGTGAAATAAAGTATATTAAACACAATATTATAATGCCACATGTTGAACCTCCCATGTTGTACGCAGCTGAAGAAAACTAACCAAATTAAATGTATCTATCGTATTGTGTTTCATTATTTGCTCATGCTCTTGTCAAAGAATTCTTGCTTTGCAATTTTAGAACATAAGTTACCTCTTTTAAACATATTCACTACCGTTCGTAAGTTCTCACTTCAGCAACTGGCTTATTGGTCGATCGAATTTACGTCACTGGGTTCAGACTGCTTGAAAAACACAGGTTAAATTTCATGATGATTTCTTTATCACTAGCACACATACGCACACATCAGCTAGATAGCTGCCTACGAATAATCGGCTTTCAGAAACCCATAACTAAGACAAGGGGGAAAAATGGAGAAAAAGGGAATTCTTGCAAGGAATTCCCTAGAAATCTAGACTGGAGGTGAGAGAAGGAAGATATGGTTCATTGGTAAAGACTTAAAAGGCATGAAAACTAAGAATCACAGGACTGACATTTAGAACTCATAGTGAATTTTCCATTTAGCGTTTCCTTCAGATCTCCTGCGTGGTCAAATGACACAGCTTGAACCTTACTATTAACTTATTCAGCGAACAGTGCAGTGTGATTTATGTTGATTCCTGCCATACAGTCGTCAACATCCATTCTTATGGATCAGTCTGGATGATGTTACAACTTTCTTTTCAAACCCAAAAAACTCATGAACACTGATAACTGTGATCTCAAGTTAAATTGGCCATAATTTCTGGATTATCGAGGCTGTTGAACATGATGTGTTAACTCTTAACTCACTTGAGTTGGAACTTTCAGTCTGAAATCTGCCATTTTTAAAGTGTTGTTTGCCACAAAATAATGCCAATAAAACCTTTGAAAATCACGCAGTCTTTTCGTCCTCCTTTAAAACTCCATCAAAGATACTCCATACTACACCTTCGAAATTAAGAGTGTGCGGTTTCTAGCTTTTCATATTTGTTTAGGAGGAAGACCGCAGTATTGTTCTCTCCTACACTTAAGGAAAACTATCATTAGCCAAGCGATACAATACGTCTTATATTCGATAGCATAATGCTGATAGCGCTTTGAAATGATTACTCTCTTTCACTCTCTTGAAAATGAAATAATATGTTGTCTCCTGGGAATTCCAGTTCACTGGCTTGTAGAAGTACATATTATTTAAATTTAAGAATGGGAAATCCTGCAAGATCACCGCCAAAAATTCGAACCTTATTTAGATCCTTTAGCTCATTACGTGTTTCTCAATTTCTCTGGATTAGTGCTTACTACTTATTATTTAGCAAGTAGTTACAAACGGTTGCCCAGATATTTCTTTACAAAACCATACAAATGTGACAGCAACATTAAATAGTTTCTATTTTACGACTAAACATTGCTTGAAAAATCCTGTGTACATTGAAATACAGTCTAAACCATTTCATTAATTTACTAAAATTATAAATGTATCTCAACCGAAACGATAATAATTCATGCAGTTCGTTGCAAAATCTTCACCTCTAGAAGAAGAATCTACGTAAGAGGACGTGGAAGAATAATTCCCTGGTTGAAAACAATGGAAATTGACATCATAAATTGAAGGACTCTGTTTGTAGTCGACTTGGAATTTGCATGGGTCTTGATACGGCATATCCAGTGGATTTTTATCACATCTTGTCACCTCAGAACTCGTTCCCACTCGTGCATTATACTCCACTGACAGTTTCGATTCAGTTGATTGGGTTTCTGTCAAATCTTCAGAGATTACACTTTATTGTGGAGATTGGAAAAAAGATAAAATAGAACATGATATAAAAATTAGTAATATATCTGTTTCTGTAAAAGAAAAGTAAGATCCAGTGTTTCCGTAAATGTTTGCTACCCTAACTAACTTAACAAACCTGCAGAAATACACTATGAATTAAAACGCTTACCCAGAAACATCTCTACACAATTTTATGTTTGAACTATTTTATTATCAGTAAGGATGCATTCTAAAATTTTATTTTATCGTACATGTACAACAAAGTCATATTAACTTTAAACCAGTGGCAACAGTGCATGTTAAGACAACAAATGAATATAAAGCATATTCATACCAAACTTAAATTTTAGACTATGAACATATTGATAATTTTTTTATTTTAATTACAGCTTGATGCCACACCGTATTTTCATTACAAGTATGGAATTTTCAGCATGGATATCGGTAGCCCAAATTTACAGGCCGACCATAGATATCGGGTGTGCGTCAGCAGGGGATCGAACCCCGGACCATGTGCATGGTCGGCGAGAGTCCTAACCACTGTGCCACCGCCGCACAGTTAGTATTCATCGCTGCCACGAGTGATTTCGCTATCATGCTGGTTTGTTTAGATGAAGCTCAATTGCTACTGCCTCATATCCAGATATGATTTAAGTAGGAGCTATGAATGAGTTTATTCCAGTTTCTAATAGACGCTTGCATAAGATGTCTTCATGTATGCAATTCTTCACCCCGCCTAGATTACTAGCTCACTAGTTTTCTAGCCGGTCCCAAGCTCTAATAAAGAGGGAGGGTTGGGGAGTGGTGCTAACAACTCCACCTCCAAAGCTTAACCAAATTGCTACAGAAACTTAAACGCATAAATATATTCAAAATTCTAAAAATACAAACAATAATCTTATTTTTCGCTGGAATCGGGGAAGTGAAATGACGCAGGCTGGTGAAAGCCTTCGGGAAGCCAGTCAGCCGATGTGCCTTCTTTCGATGAAAGCAAAAATAAGGATGGGGACGTGGAATATTCGTACAATGTACGAAACTGGGAAGGCTGCTCAGGTAGCCGCAGAAATGAGGAGATATAAAATAGAAGTGTTGGGAATCTGCGACAGTAGATGGAATGGATATGGAAGGAGCCAACTACCAACTGGAGAGACAATAATCTGCTCCGGTCACCCAGAGGACAATCACGAGCACACCGAGGGAGTAGCCATCATGATGTCACCAACAGCAGCCAAAGCTCTCATGCAGTGGGAACCAATCTCCTCCAGGATAATGACAGCCAGGTTCAACTCAAAAGGAAAAAAGGTTACAACCATTCAATGCAATGCACCTACAAACGTCTCAGAAAAAGAGAAGAAGGAGGATTTCTACAGTCAACTGCAAACAGTAATGGACAACGTCCCAAATATCGATATCAAAATCCTGATGGGTGATATGAATGCGAAGCTGGGAGGAGAAAATACTGGAAAAGAACTCACCATGGGTCGCGAGGCCCTCGGTGAAGTGAACGACAATGGTGAACTCTTCTCAGACTTCTGCACCTTCAATGATTTGGTGATTGGTGGCAGTGTGTTCAAACACAAGGATATACACAAGGCAACATGGATTTCACCAGATGGACACACCAAAAACCAGATAGACTTCATTTCAATCTCAAGGAAGTGGAGACGGAGCCTACTGGACACAAGATCGAGGAGAGGAGCAGATGTGGGTTCAGACCACTATCTAGTACAAGGGACTTTCAAGGTGAAGCTGAAAGCCTCGAGGATGGCTGGGGATAGGCCACAATGCAAATTCAACACTCAAAAACTGAAGGACACAATCACACAGGACATTTTCACTGCAACTGTTAGAGCAAAGCAGGAAACACTACGTGACATCACAGAAGAATCATCCGTGGAAGACCATTTGAACTCTCTGAAGGTAATTTTCAACGAAACGTGTTCAACGGTTTTAGGAAGAAAGAAGAGACAAGATAAGGAATGACTGTCAACGGACACTTGGAAGCTAATAGAGGAGAGGAGAATGGTGAAAGAGAAAATGATTCAATGCAAAGATGGACAAGAGAAAGAGACGCTGAGCTCAACTTACAGAGCACTGGACAAAGAAGTGAAGAAGAGTGCCAGGAAGGACAAAAGACAATTCTACGACAACCTGGCTTCTGAAGCTGAGAAGGCACCAGGCAAAAGGGACCTGAGGACACTATATCAGATAACCAAGTCTCTATCCGGGAAGAGATCAACACAAGTGAAACCTATAAAAGACAGTCAAGGGAACCCAATTACCAAAGAAGAAAGACAGATTAAACAATGGGCGGACCACTTCAAAGGACTCTTGAACCGACCATCACCTGCAAACCGTCCAGAAATTCCAACAACAGCACGTACACAACTGCAAGTTGACACAAATCCTCCAACGAAAGCTGAAGTCTTGAATGCAATCAAGCTTCTGAAAGCTGGAAAAGCAGCTGGACCAGATGGAATACCCCCGGAAGCACTGAAAGCGGACCCAGAGACGACAGCAGATATGCTGACTCCATTATTGCGAAAAGTCTGGAAGGAGGGAAAGGTGCCTACTGACTGGAGGAAAGGTTACCTCGTGAAACTATCAAAAAAGGGCGACCTAGGACTCTGCAAGAACTGGCGAGGAATCATGCTCCTGTCGACGCCAAGTAAAATCCTGAGTCACATCATCCTGGAGAGAATAAAGGACGCACTGGATACAGAACTCCGACCAGAACAAGCTGGATTCAGGAAAGGCAAATCATGTTCTGACCAAATCGTGACTCTACGCATTATCATCGAACAAAGCATGGAATGGAAATCAAACCTCTACCTCAACTTTATAGACTTTGAGAAGGCCTTCGACAGCGTTGACCGCGAAGTAATTTGGAAACTACTCGAGTACTATGGCGTACCTCAAATATTCATCAACCTTATTCAACAGCTGTGCGACAACGGCACATGTCAAGTGATCCACAACGGAAAACTCAGTGAGGCGTTTAAAGTAAACACAAGAGTCAGATAAGGGTGCTTATTATCACCAATGATATTCCTAATTGTGGTGAACTGGACTGGATTATGCGTCAGACAGTGGGAAACGAGAAGACAGGGATATCCTGGACCGACGTGAAGAACCTAGAAGACCTGGATTTTGCGCGTGGATGATTTATGTTTGATGTCACACAAAATCGAAGACTTACAAGCGACAACCGACAAACTGGTCGAAGAAGCAGCAAAGACAGGACTCCAGGTGAACATAGACAAGACGGAGGTCATGAAAATAACCAACCAACAACAGCAGCAGCAACATCCAGTGCCAATCACCATCAACGGGAGGGATTTGAAAGAGGTTACTTCATTCACTTATATAGGGAGCATTGTCTTAACTACAGGAGGAACGGACGAGGATGTCAAATCGAGAATCGGGAAGGCGAGAAACACGTTCATCATCAACCTGAAACCAATCTGGAAATCTTCGCCACTCAACATCAACAACAAAATTCGGATTTTCAATACAAACGTCAAGTGAGTCAGTTTTGCTATACGGATCAGAAACTTGGCCAGTGTGTCACAAAGAATATTTCCAACAGCCTGTTGCAGACCTTTATCAACAACTGTCTTCGCTCTATAATGAAGATCAGATGGCTGGAAAGAACAAGAACCAATCGTCCAACAAATATGCAGGAGAAAGTGGAGATGGATGGGACACTGGCTGAGGAGGCCGTTGGTTGACATCGCCCGTCAGGCCAGTGCTCGAGTGGAACCCGAAAGGGAAGCGGCGAGTGGGACGTCAGTGCAAGGGTGACATGGAGGAGATCGTGTGAAAAGGAGTTGAAACAGTATGGACTAACACGGATGCAGGTGAAAAGTACAGCAGAAGACAGAAGCAAGCGGAGACGTGCAGTTGAAGCCCTGTGTTCCATTAGGAACCCAAGGGAACAATAATAAAAATAATAATGTATGCAATTCTTACGCGTTAAGATGAATTCTCGGACTGATAGCTAAATTAGTGATGTGAACGAGCATAACGTACGTTTTAATCACATAAAAACCGGATATAAATCCAGTTGTTTAAAGTTAGATTGGACTAGGTCAATGAGCTCCTTCAACAAATTACTAGATTTACTCTTTCTAATATTGTGGTGGTGTGATACAGAAAATGAGTTCCAACAGAATATTATTCTCACTGTAAGAATCATTGTATTTGTTGGTGTTAACGTCTGAATACTATTCTAACAGTTCACTACTGCATTAACTGCTCAATGCTTTATATATCTGAACATTCTATTTCATGTCGTTTGATGTCAACCAAAATCACACGCTCAGTGATTGGTTAAACAATATAAATTGTATTGATATAAATAGCTGTTTGATCACTTGAAAATATACCTTGGCTTTTTTGTCATGCCTTCTGTTGTTACACTAGATTTACTATTTTGAAGCTAGCGAGAACAATACTGACTCATGAAAGTGAGCTACACATCAGTATATTGTCATATGATCAAAATGCTTCATATACTACTGGTTAAGTGATTTCATGATAGCTGAGGTCATACTCGAAGTGGTTAATGGGAATATAGTAGTAGTCACTTGATGTGTTTGTTTTCACTGAGCTGGATGGCTTAGTTGCAAAGCTTTCATTGTCTTTCAAGGCAATATCTATAGTGCACACTGCAGTATGTAGTGAAAAACAAAAGAAGATAAGATTAACACTATCTACAAAATAAAATACATTTTATTGTGAAAAGCATTATGTTCGCCAAAGTGAGCGTCGCCTTCGACTCGAGAACATCAACTAGCAGTCAAAAAACACGACATGTATTCCTTCATATCGGTGCATGTAGACAACTAAGAACAAAAATTTGGCTGGGAAAATGTCGAAGTTTTAGGCAGTGAGGACCATATAAATGTCAGAGAATGTCCCAAACAATAAGGGTGGGACAGAGTCAAAATTCTAAAAAGTAATATAGGTAGGTGGAGAGAGATTGATTACTGAATCCTGGTT